TTTCCGTACTTCGCGGCGTCTTCGTCCAAGGTGCGCTTTCCGTATTTGGCGGCGTCCTCGTCCAAGGTGCGCTTTCCATACTTGGCCGCGTCCTCATCCAACTCACGTCTGCCATATTTGGCAGCATCTTCATCCAAAGTGCGTTTACCATACTTGGCGGCATCTTCATCTAGGGCCCGTTTACCATACTTTGCAGCGTCTTCATCCAGAGTGCGAAGGTTGAGCGCTGGAGTCCACGGGCTGACAGGAACCACTTGTGAAAGGCTTAGCCAGAAACACGCATAGTCGACATCAAAACTTACAAGCCTTTGGCTCTGCAACTGGAGCAGCAGCTACCAAAGCTGGGATGAGGAGAACGACGTTGCGGAAGTGCATTCTCGGCGGATAATCAGTTCAGTGAGTCTGTTTAGATGTCGATTTTGGTGAAGAGTGAAGAGTGAATGGTTGAGATGGGTTGTCAAGCTCGTTGGCTGTCGAATTCTTCACTCAAAAGGTCCCGTCTTATACTTTTGCAACAGATACAGGACGGACAATCGAAATGTGATTATATCGAATTGAGGCAATGCTGTACAGTCGATTCCGTAGCCCACTCATCCTTCTATCGTTGATCCTTGAAGTTGTTGCAACGTGATACTCCTTTTGCATTGTCCGTGGGATCATACAGACGGAGTCACACACATGTGTGGATCCTGGAGTTGCGAAAGACGTCCGTTGGAGCATGGGCCGCCCGCAAGGAGGAGGAAGTGTGCGGTTCCTCGGTGGGGCGAGTCACGTGTGAATCGTCCCCGGGTGGGCTCTGGAGATAGCGTCGTCTCAACTATCGTCAGCTCACAGAACCGCGTCTGGGGTATTTTCCTGATTCGGTTATCCGGAGTAAATTTAATACCTTGCTTAGACGAATTTTCGACTCTCGAGTCCGGTGACAGGGTCCAATGAGCATAGTGAAGGAATAGTTGTGCGAATTTATCACGTGATGGAGGAGGAATGTCATAAATTGCTGACTTCAATCACCAGTCCGATAATCTGACATCTCGCAGAGTTCTTCTCACATGCAGCCCTAAGCACACTTATCGTGGCGGTAAGCGCTAAGAAAACGGCCCCGACTACCATTGTTGCCTATCACAACGGTTCATACGAAGACGCCAAGGGTGAATGTTACGCCAAAGTCCGACTTTCATAGCAGATGTCACAGGAAACTTCTAGTGACGATATCAACTGCCGGACACGGCTCATTTCCGTAGGATGTTTATGCTAACCGTTTTCTCGGTCACCGAGAGGCTAGAAGGAGGCCAAATGAGATACTGTGAAGGTGGTCCATGAGCTACAAGGACTCAAATGCACCCAACCTCGCAGTTCAAGAGAAAGCCATATCTGTCTCATGAACCACCTCTTTGCTTTTCTAATATATCAGCGATAGCACCTGACCGCTATGGCTTCGAAGTACGAGAAAGATATCAGTCCGAGTGAGAGTAGCAGCACACTTGCTCTGTTTCCTGATAAGGAAGACTATGATGATTTCCATCCTGTCATTCGCAGGAAATCGAGATGGTATAAGTCGCCCTTTATCGTACACATCGTTGTGTTCTGCGCCTACACAATCGCGTTCTTCTCATTCTCCAAGTCACTTCGAGGGGAGAACTGCCACAAGTCTATGGTTTACAGTAAGTCTAAAGCAATGTATCAGATTAAATTCAGAGCTAATAACAAGTCTAGCGCCAGCAAGAGAGGCAATAAAATGGGAGAAGACCTCATTTCAAAATCCCCTCGGGCAGGACAACCCCTATAAAGGTCATCCGAGACCAGAGCTCGACCAAGCCTGGCACGATCTACTGGAGAACTCCAACATTCGCGTGAGCGAAGAGGAGCTCAAGAAGATCAATCGCACATCGATCAAGCTGACTGATGGCTCGGGTGACTACATGGCTGGGCTCAACGTTCACCACCAGTAAGTGTCCACGGTCGATAGCATTGCATCTCTCTAACCCGTCTAAGCTTGCACTGCCTGAAAAGTATACGTAGAGTCATCTATCGTGACTACTATGATCTGTATGAAGAGGACGAGATGTGGATCCATCTAGGTGAGGCCTCAGCTTCTTCATCGCAATGTTATAGCTAACCTGAGAACCAACAGAGCACTGCATGGACGATTTACGCCAAGCCATCATGTGCAATGCCGATTTCACTCTCCTCACCTACGATTGGCTTCCAAACTACCGCAAGCCCTGGCCCAACTTCAACGTCGATTACGAATGTGTAAACTGGGAACTATTGGATGGCTGGGCTGAAAAACGCGTCTTCTCGCTGTTTGATCACAAATCCCTGATGCATCCGCAGCTTGGTATGTTCTTTATCAATGTTAAAAACCCAACGATACATGTCAAATACTGATTGTTTACTAGGGGATCCATTTCCCATCATCAACGGGACCGTCGATTTCGGAGAAGGGCTTCATCCGCATGTCGCATATGACGGAGCAGATGACAAGAAGGATCAGGATGACCTTGGACATGAACACCATGGGTCGCACTTGTGATACTTCGCGTGCTTTTGGAAACCACGGTAAAACGCAGTAGATGAACGCAATAGGGTGCTAAAACACACGTCATGGGTCTCGCGAGTCCCATAATGAGCATGCATCTCATTAGTCCCATTAGTAATTTGGGTGTCTAGGTATATACTGTGAAGACGTTGAAGTCTTCCATAGGTTCTTGTGCTTAACAACTTAGACTAGCATTTGATTCCATCTTGCTTGTTGTTGCCCACCTGCGCAAATTTTGTGTGTTTCTGCATTTGTTCTGTAGTACGTTGAAGTTATTCCACGAGAACACAATATCATTTGCTGATGATAGTTCTCGAAGTGTGGGGCGAGCAGCTGGTAAATGACTGGTTTCTCATCCTCCACCCCCGAACTGTCAGCCTGCAGCCGGAGAATCCTCTGCCAGAGCTTGAGTCGAGCTCTTCGCGATTACCATATACCAGCAACTACACTTGTCTGTTGAGCTTCCCTATCTTAACAATTTTGAGGAAGCAACAACTCACACTATCCGAAGAGAGCGGTTTGCGATACGTATTGGAATGCATACCAACTGTCGAAGGCAGCGCCTTAGGGGAAGCAATCCAAGAAGCCAGAGAACGGTTACGAAGAGAAACTACTTTGCACTGTTGCGCATAACCTGGTACAGGATTCACAGCTCAGCGTTGATCTTGCTATAGTGAAGAATGGAACGCCAAGCGAAACTGAAGGGGCGAGAATAGCGCTTCGTCAATGCAAGAATCTGAAAGTGGTGAAGGATTGGGTAGCCCTGCACCATAGTCCTTCTATATTGCCCTCAAGACATCCCAGTAGGCTTTAGATTAAGAACATGCTGTTTTGGCTACGATAGACCTCCGAAAGAAGTTACTTAGATCACAGGATTTCGCGCATCTCTCAGCATCTTGCACGTATGACACTATTATTCGTTTGCATTCCCTACAGAAATCAAGGCTATACGATCTCGATCTCTTGAGCTTCGAGAGGTTGAAACATCGAGCCATTGTACGGTCCAAGTGCTTTCTGAACTTCCTTCACCTGCCATGCCCAGAACTCATCCATATCGTGAATACTTAAGAAATCTTGCGATTCCCCCTGGAAAAGTTTTTGGAAAAACTCCAAATCTGCGGCGGTCTTGTTCTTTTTTGCATATGCTTGGAAGTAATTCCAGGGGTCGTTGAGGATCGTAGCAGGATATTTGAGTCCAAAAAACAATCGTCCAAGAATTCCAGGCTCATACAGCTCAAAGTATGCTACGCGGCGAAACCGTACTCCATCGGCCTGACAGAGGATAATTCCTGCAATTGCAGGTGTATTCCCGTGTGTGGTTGAGGCCAGCAGGGGGAGGAAATATATTTCCTCAACGGGAAACGACTGGCCCACCAGATCATCGACTCTTATGGATGCTACTCCAGACTGTATGAAGTATCCCCAGGCAACCCGTGCCGTTGCGTCGAAAGCCTTGATTCCATCTAAGAAAATCCGGAATTGGGTTTCTCCGAGCTTGTCTTTGCCAAGAAGGCTCCATGTCGCGGGTCGAAGTACTCCAAACAGAGTGATGGAATTGCATTCCGTGGGCCTGGGCCTCTCATGGCTTGTACTGCGATTGGGCCAACGTGGGGCGGCTATTTGATGGAGCAATCTGCGCCATGGATATTCTATTTCGTTGTGTACGGACATCCAACTCCAAGATGGAGCGCCGTAATCACGGGGTCGTGTAGATTCCCAGGGGTATCTTCGCTTTCTGCTTATTGGAGTGATCCAAATAACCGCTTCGGACCAACAGCGCCAGCACATATCTGAGACAATTGTGGTTCTCCAAAGCCCTGCCATACATGTGTCGTTGAGAGATGATTGGAATAGATCGGCGACCCCTGAGAGAGCGACCATCTTATCTGAGCTCACAGTCAGTTGTCTTCTTGAATACTCTTCACAAATATATCTCCACGTCTGATATTCTCCTGCCTTGTCCACAGATAGGTGCTCGCGACCGTGTATGAAAGAAATGACCCTTTTCAATATGAAGTAACTCGGTTCCGAAAGTAAATCATGGCCAGTAAAACCGAGTGGCAAGGACTCGGAAAGCAGCGTCTCTGAGCATTCCCAGAAAAGCTGTTGCCCAAAGTGGAGCACACGTGGCGAAAGAACCCACTCTTGTAATACCCAAGCCCTAGATGCCAGGGGCCCTTGTGTGATTGATTTTGACAGTTCCTCCATGGACTTTTGTAGTATACACGTGCCATATCCTGGGACATTCAAGACTAATGGGGCGAGTAGATACGGGGACCTTCGTGCGAAGAGACCATAGCTGCTATCGGCGGCAGTACTAGCAGCAATGTTCAGTGCGCCCTGAGAATATGTGCTTTTCATAGCAGTAGACTCCTTCTTCCAGTCGGCTTCAGAGTCTTGAATGATGCACAAAGAGTCAATCTGCAAAGATCTTAGAACACTCAGGATATGGGCTACACAAATGACCTACCCATAGATAGCGAACTAGGACTGTCAGTACAGAGACGTGGAACCGTGAGATGTACTTACAACCGTACCAACCGCAGACTTCAATAGCATCGCGAAAAGTCCGAGGCAACTTCTTTATCTCGATCCCTCGAGAGAATTGCTCAATGTTTGCGTTTGTCAGCTTTATCGGAGGGTTTGCTCCCCAGCAGTGACTCAACGTAACATAAGGGCTTTTGATGGCTTCGGTCTTCGTGTGCACCACCTGGATACGCCGGGTCGAATGTGCTTTTTGAAGGTCAAGGAGCCGAGTAGGACATTGGCTGGTACCCAAGTTTGACAACCTACTCTTCCGAGCTGCGCAATGGTCATGTGACGTCGTGCAAGTGTGCATCCACCTCCTCGCCATTCTTTGACAATGTGCTGATTGAGTAGTTTGACCGAATGTATTTGCTTCAGACCTTAGGTATGCGTCATGGGCTGGAAAATGACAGATCTTAGTGTTGCAAGTGGAACCAGAGAGAAAGGATACTTTACAATTGGCTTCGGTTGTAATGAAAAGGATGACGTGGCCACTTATAGCACTGCATCGATGTCTGATCGATAGCCAGGCGTTCTTTTTGTCTATGGTAATGCGCATGTCAAAGCGGACATTAGAAGCTTTGCAGCAACCTTCAACTTCCATCGAGTGCTTAATGTATAAGCATAAGCGACAGCCTTCGGAAGCTGCTTGATGAACGCCTTCAAGAGTCAGATGTGGGTGGATTTCTCTCTCACAACCAGGGATGTAAAGATGCGAGAGACAATCCGCACATGCTTTACAAATCGACCCGCCGGACAGTGACATTTTCTGGAAAGTGAGAGAAAGTGGAAAGTTCGATGCCTCGGTCATCGTTCGATCTTTCCCAGGCTATTATGTGCGGATCGAGAGATGGCGGGGGGAAGTATGTTAATCAGCTATACAGCTACACGCGGACACCGGAATACCCCTCATGCTTGCATGGCAGCGTCTAAGCGCCAGTGCGCGCAGGGTTTTGATCAGCAGCGTATGGTCCATGCCCAATTTCTCGAAATAATATGCTTCTCGGCTTATTCGCCTGCAGGCCAACCGACAATCTCTCCAACGCTGTAGAATGTTGGCTGCACCTGCTGTTGCGCATGCATCGGACCGGCTTCTTCCGAAATCGAGATTCAGCATCCTGCACGGATATCGTCTGCGAATTTTAGGTATTCTGAAAGGATCATCGCTTTCGCTATTTGAGTAGGTAATCCGAACAATATTTCTGCCCCCTAGTTTCTAGCTTACGACCAGCAAAAGCATCCTTTCGTCTCTTTACCGTCCAGCTTCAAAAAAAAAGTCTACTTGAGCTCCCTCATATGAGACTTGACGTATCGCGCCATTCAGGCGATGGATTTGCCTGGCTTGACTATGATTTTTTTCCCAGTAGCACTAAGCAGACAAGGCTGTACGACTCGCGATATGACAGGCCCGCGTTTGCTACGGACCTCCACTTCGAAAGATCCGCGGTTATACCTGCCTCGGTCCACAGTCAATCAGCAGGTCCGCTATTGCTCGTACAAAACCGCCCAAGACCTTCTTTGGCCTTGACGAGCAAGTCTCTCTGACCACCTGGGCGACTGTAAGAAAATAACGTACAGTGTCGGGCCCGCGCGCCGCTCGTATATACATGTTGGGACATGATGGCGGAATATCCAATTCTCCAAAAGCCTGCAAAACTTGGGTTGAAGTCTCTCCCGAGCTGCTGATGTATCCCGCCAAAGTGTGGGAGGGGAGAGGCATGACCGACATGAAGAGCGCTGACCGGTTGTAGACGCAGTCTTACGCCGGGACTGATAGTTCGCACATGGCTGGAAATAAAAGCCTCGTGGGCGGCCCTGGGCATGGTGAAACCTTGCTGTGCGTGGCAGAACCCGTGCGCGGATCCGCCAGTACTTATATGTCAACAAATTGAGTGACTCATGGCTTCTCAGGACCCAAAGAGCATAGAACCCGGCACCTCTCCAAAGCCCTGGAGGCTGTAGTGCTTTTATTAAAAGCCGTGAGCAATTCACTCAGAGGTCGCGGTATCTTGAAAATGATAGGTCCTTAGCCGTAAGGCTCGAATGGACTCACTTGCCAGAGCGCAAGCTTCGATTTTCGCGGCTATTGCATTTTATCATAGCGTTCACAAACGCTGTCATATCGTAATGTTTCTTCGAGCCGACTAGGGTTGCTGCCATGGAAGATATCCGGCAAGTCGGCGTGGGGAAGATGGTGACGGTGAAAGGCGCCGTTTTGCTGCAATCATGCTGTGTGAAGAATTGCAATGAACAACACACGCCGCAACATGTGCAGGTGATGTAGACGCTAATGTCGATTGTTAGACTGGAAGTGTATTGTTGTCTTCTACACTTGGTGAATTTCCGACCGAAACTAGTTTAGGATGCTACAGACAGGGTCATGTACGTACACCGATGCCTCGGCGTTCCAAGACCCCACGGATAGGATCACTTGGCTCGTCACGATCAATCGATACCACATCTGTGTTCACTGTGACACTGCATTCTCGTGATCGCGCGCTTTCGACCAAGGACTGCATCTGTTGAGAGATTGGAGCGGGCGACGGAGAATTGATGAGAGCCCCCCGGCTGGCTTGCCAAATAGATGTGAGCATGACGGCGCGCATTGGCTAAGCCTCACAAATTGAGCTCTGCGAACAAGCCTTGAGATGACATCTTCAGGCTGTCGTCATGATGCCTGGTCTTCAAATGCCAAAGGAAAAGTCACTTGTCACCGCGTCGAATCCGCGTCGCACGCTGGCGCGTCGTCTCTGCGCACCCGGGCGGAGACTGCTCCAATGCTCAAGGGACGTCCGCGGACGGTGCGCGTCGAGGACCGCGCTGCGGCCGCCAAGTGATGTGCCGATTGTTTGCTGCTGCACGACCTGCACGTCGCCGCAACATGCTGCAGCGCTCTGCAAAGGTATTCAGCCTTGTGGACAGCACATCCTGAGTTCCGGCAGCCTAGCGCATCTATTTGCGTTCGGTGGCCACATTTTCCGGGGGCGGACGCGCTCGAAGGGGGCTACTCACCGGAAAGGCTCAGCGCTGCGCGCACCTCAGGCTACCGATAAACCATGGGTGAATGTGTCAACCTCTTTCACCTCCACCACGGCTGCTACCCTTCTTTAATCCAGTTCTCCACGAGATAGAGATGACGCTTGAATAAGCGTCCTCACGTGGTGTATAAAATTCGCATCGCCCTGTCCTTTTGCCGCCGTCACCACGAGGCTGGAAGCTCGTTTGTGCGCCGGGCTTCAGTCGCACGATCTATTGCTGTAACCTTTGCCTTATTGCGCCCTGCTCGATTTGATGAGAGCTTCGCTCTTCATTCTGGGGCGAAAGGCACACCTCTTTCTGCCTTCCGTTCGCTCTCCCCGTTTCCGTGGTTGACTTGGGCCAAACTGCTTTGTTGGCCGCATAGCCAGCTCAGCAGCGTTGAGAAGGCAAATTCGCTGCGTGAGGCGCAGTGAGCACCGGCCAGCGAGATCGCGCCTCCCTGATCACCATCACATTCACAGGCGGCCGCGCCTGCTGTTTGCGGGGCGCCCCGCACTTGTCGACTGAAGATGGCCTCGTCTTTCTTAACCATCTACACGCCGGCTTCAGACCTGACAGAACCCTTTGCTATCGAGCAGGAGCTCGAGTTCTGCTTCAGCCTAATGGACTCGTTGGACCTCAAGGACCCCAACTACGCGGAGAGCCGCGCTCACTACGAGCATCACATCAACATGCTAGCCGACCAGCTCGAGGGCGCGTCCGCGTCCGCGTCCGTCACGCCTGGTTCTGCGACAGACTGGAACGACATGTCCCGCAAGCGCCCGCGAGAGCTGTCACTCTCCGACACCGAGCAGCAATTGAACAGTCCCGCGACGCCGATCGACAGCATGCCAGGTGCGTGGCCGACATCGAAGCGCTTGAACATCGGTGGCAGCGATATCATTGATCTCACAGACGACCGTCCTTTCACATTCAATCAACAGCTGCCTCAACAGCCACCTATGCAGCATCACCACTATGGCTTCGTCGACCCATTCCCAGAGGTGTTTCACAATAACCAGCCGGTCCCTGTCCGGCCTGCCGTTGCTTTCATACAAGAGACCATGGGCAAAGATGAACTTGCTGATTTCTTGCTCACATCAACGCCTGTCGGCGGTAGCTACGCATACAACCAGCCTTTGCTACCGCAACGAGACGCTGCCCCACGAGACGCCCTCTTATCCCCACGCCCGCTCAGTCTCGGATTCCCTGGTGCGCTACCTGGCGGTGAACCGGCTTATCCTAACTGGTCCTCCCCGCTCTCACCTTCACCGGATGCGGTGGACCACGATGTCGTGAGTTCACTCATCGATGGTATCAGGAGCCAGGCCCACGATGACACTCCACGCGAGCCGACCCCAAAGAAGATGAGCTGTAAGCTGATGCCACATCAAGAGCAGGCACTTGCGTGGCTGCTCAAGATGGAGAAGGGCACAAGCAAAGGAAGTCTCTTGGCCGACGAGATGGGTCTTGGCAAGACGATCGAAGGACTCTCGTTGATCGTAGCTAATCCTTCCAAAAACCCAGCTAGGAAAACCACCTTGATCGTTGCCCCTGTAGCCCTCATGCGGCAGTGGGAGAAGGAGATTGAGCGACACATAAAACCAGCTCATCGCCTCAAGGTCTACACTTACCACCGCAATGGAAAGAAGGCCGACTTTAGCGTGCTTCGCGAGTACGACATCGTGCTCACTACTTTCGGCACGCTGGCAAACGAACAGAAGCGCATCGACACCCGGAAAGAGTCGGAGGCGAACGACCGTGAGCGTCGAGAGCCGGCGTTTACACGCAAAGCGAAGGACAAGCTTGGTATTCTTGGGGATCAGTGTTACTGGTACCGAGTTATATTGGATGAAGCCCAGTGCATCAAAAATAGGAGCACCCTTACCTCGAAAGCTGCGGCTGCTATCCAGGCTGAGCTCCGACTGTGCATGACTGGAACACCTATGCAGAATTCTGTCGAGGAACTCTATCCCCACATCCGATTCCTGCGTATTTCCGCGTATCAGGAGTGGCCTTCCTTCAACTCCCACTTCGTGAAGCCTCTCAAGGCGAACAAAAACTATATGAATGAGCGGGGCATGTTACGCTTGCAGGCACTGATCAAATCGTTTACCCTACGCCGCGAGAAAACTACAATCATTGACGGGAAGCCCATCGTCAATTTGCCCCCCAAGATTGTCAATATTCGGCCTGTGGAATTTTCCAACGCGGAGCACGAGCTGTACAAAGCTATCGAGACCAAGTCACAGATCCAGTTCAATCGTTACCTTAAGAAGGGTCAGGTGACCAACAACTATGCCAACATCTTGGTACTGCTGTTGCGCTTGCGCCAGATCTGTTGCCACCCTCACCTGGCCAATGATCTGGGTGTGCAGGTATCGACCGAAGGTATTTCGGAGGTTGACCTCAAGAGCCGTGCCATGTAAGTCGCTTTGCCGGAATAAGACGAGAAGTACTGACATTCAGTAGGTTACTTGACGAAGATGTTGTTCGCCGCCTGAAAGATAACGGAGGTGCCTTCGAGTGTCCCATCTGCTATGAGGTACGTGTTGTTGAGTTTATTTCCCTTTACCTAAACCAAAGAGCACTTGAGCAAACCACTAACTAAATGTCCAGTCGGACATCAATCCGACGATTATTATCCCATGCGGACACACCACTTGCGGTGAATGCTTCCAGAAGCTTATCGATCCTTCCCGAGCCATTCAAGAGGGCAATGAGAATAGCACTTCGAAATGCCCTCATTGTCGCGGCACTCTGAGTTCCGAGAAGATCACTGACTACCGTCACTTCTGCAAAGTCTTCTGTCCCGAGAAGTACGAGGAGCTCCGTGTCGCGTTCAATAATGCCACTGGAGAGGAAGATAGCGAAGACAGCGACAGCAGCGATATGAGCGATGACGAAGCGGATGAAGATGCTTATGATGCGACCCTCGGCGGGTTCATTGTTGATGATGACGACGCAGAGGAAGATGAAGATGAAGACGTGAAGATGGAGAACGGTGCTGAGGATTCTGCTGCCGATGGTCGTGGTCGCTGTGGAAAGAAGAAAGGAAAGGCAAAGGCCAGGGTCAAGGAGCACCTCTCGCTTGCGCAGCTGAAGAAATTGTCTCTACGCAGCACCGATGCCAAGAAGAGGTATCTGAGCCGTCTACGGAGGTCGTTCAAAAGTTCTGCGAAGATTGACGAGACGATGCGTTTATTGACGGTCATCCGCGAGAATGACCCTACTGAGAAGACGCTGATATTCTCATCCTTCACGACGTTGCTTGACCTTATCGAGGTCCCTTTGCAAGAGAAGGAGTTCAATTATCAGCGTTACGACGGCAGTATGAAGTTTGACGATCGAATCGACGCTGTCAATGAGTTTATGGACAACGCGACAGAAAACATTATGCTCATCTCTATTAAAGCTGGGAACGCGGGCTTGAACTTGAACAAGGCTTCCCAGGTCATCATGCTTGATCCTTTCTGGGTATGTGAAGTTCCGGGACGATTCGAATGATGCAAAAATGCTAATGCGTAACAGAACCCGTTCGTGGAAGATCAGGCTGTCGACCGTGCCCACCGTATGCCTCAGCAGCGCGAAGTGCATGTCCATCGGGTTCTTGTTCCGGAGACGGTCGAGGACCGCATCTGCAAATTGCAGGACAAGAAGCGAGAGGTCATCAACGCGGCGCTCGACGAGCGTGCCGGCAAGAGCCTCACGAGGTTGTCGATCGGCGAGCTTCGCAACCTCTTCGGCTTGTGAGCGAGCTGCTTTCTTCGCACGTCGCCTCGTTGACGTTTACGGATGCCTTTGGCGTCCTGCTTATCTGCCCTCTACTCGATTGTAATGGGGAGACACTGCTCAGCACGGCATTCTACATCTGCTCATTTACGGCGCATCTCTTAGCAGTTATGATACCCTTTTCTTTTACGGACGAGGTCGCATTTGGTCTGGAAAACTCGCTCCGAGCAGAGAGATGAGCTGGGTACAGGTGCTCAGACGTGTGTTCCGCAGCTTTCCAGGTAAGAGCTATAGTCGCGCGACGTGAAAAGTGCGGGACAATATCAAAATATTACAATGTATGCGTGCGCAATCTTGAACGTTCAGTGTTTATGTTGGAGGCGCCTACTAGCGGTTAGGGCGTGGCCCTTCCGATGTCGTCAGCCCCCAATCCCGAGGCAGTGGTGCCCGAGTTACTCGATAATAGATAACACGCGGACAGTGTCTCTGCATGCCTCTGGGGTCTCTACGTATTCTGACTTACTCTGCGGGTCTGTCAGTAGTTCTTGGGCCATGCATCATCTCCCTGACGAGCTCGTCCTCCAGATCATCTGCTGTAAGCCTCTCGGAACGCATTCGAGCGACCGGAACTGACACAGCCCGCCAGACCTCGAGCCCGAAGAGCTCATAAACCTCCAACACGTCTCGCGCCAGTTCCTTCGCCTCTCGCGCGACAACAATCTATGGCGCAGCTTGTGCTTTGAGCACTCGGCCGCCGAGCGCAGACGTCGCCGCATGCTGCCCACCACCGATCTCGACCCCCGTCTAGTTGAGCTCATCCGCGCCGCCAACGACGTTGCGAACGCATTTCCCTTTGGCGTGCACGATCCAAGCGCTCCGAGCGCCGATACACAGGTTCAGAGGAATGTGGGCAAGAGGAGGGCGGCGCTGCTGGCGAATTGGGATCCGAGCTACCCTGGGGAGAAGGTGGATTTCTACCAGGAGTTCATTCAAAGACATGCGCCGCATGAGCTGAGGTGGTTTCAGGAGGCGAAGCACGGAAGTCAAGATGATAATCTGCGGCATGAGGCGACGGGCGCGGGGATTGTTTATGGCACTGATGGGCTAGCGGAGAAGCTGGTTGCTCCGCTGGAAGACGGGAGTGTGTGCGTGTGGGACGCGTCTGCGAGAGAGGGCCAGCTGGGGCGCATTGTTGCGAGGAGCGCGGTAGGGCTGCTGCCGGGAAAGGGGAGTGATTTGGACATGGACACAAGGCTTCGCCAGAGCCGGGCGGCGATGACGGAGACGGGTGCGATCGAGTGCGTCAGCGTGGACAGCAGGGCGGGGAAGGCGTTCTTTTCAGTGCAGAACACACTTAACGAAGTGGACCTACATACGCTACAGGTCGTCTCTCGCGCACCATATCCGTTTCCCATCACTGCGCTGTCCGAGGCCAGACACCCGACCCCCCTCACTGTGGGCACGAACTGGACGCTGCACCTACACGACTCTCGAGCGCCGCCCTCCACATACACGCCAGCCGCGGGCGCCTCCCGCTGCGAACTCATTGCTGGCGCCCCCTCCTCGCCGTCTTTCTCCCGCCTCAAAACCGGAGACGTAGGCGCCCATGTCTCCCTCGCGCAGCCCGGCGCTCTCTCCATCGCGCACCTTCCCACAGCCCGCGAGTGGGACGCCAACGGTGACATCTGGGTCGCCGGCCGATTTACCAGCCTGCTCAACTTCGACCGGAGGTACTTCCCTCGTTTGAGGGGGACTGTGCACTCTGGCGCGCGCTTGAGCTGTCTCGCTGCGCTGCCGTTTCCGTTCGTCTCGCGGTCTTCCGTTTCCAAACACGGCGCAGCAGCAGGCCACACGCTTGTCGCAGCGGGCGAGTACAAAGGCAAAGGCAGTTTGGAACTGTACAGCTTGAGTACCGATCCTTCTCGCGGTATCAACAGCAGCGACTCCCGCACCACGCGGAATAGTCAAGCGTGCTACCACAACCGGCAGACGGCGAGCGCATCGAAGCTCCTCTCCGTCGCGCCGCATGGCACTCGGCTCGTCTTCAGTGACGGAGATGGCGGGCTGAAGTGGGTTGAGAGGGATGCTTCTGCAGCTGTGCGGAGTCTGAACATCAACATCGACGTAGAAAAAGCGAAGCCCGGCGTCGCGCAGCGCGGATCTGAGCCCGGCTACGGCGACATTGTTCAGAAGATCCTGCCTACGGCGGACACCTCGCTGCACGCTACCAGACCTGAAGTCCCGCTCGGACAGGACAATCTCATCCTCTGGACAGGCGATGGGAGGCTCGGAGTCCTGGGTTTCGGACAGCCTGCTGAGGAGGAGTGGAAGGATGCGGTGGAGGAGTGGGAGGGCGAGGCGGCGGAGGAGAGGGGCCGGGAGAGGGAGTATGCGGGTAGGATGAGGGAGGCGTTGGAGATGCAGGCGAGGGAGATGAGGTGGTTGAGGGGGTATGGGCTTTGAGACCGTACGCTGTAACGCATTGCTGTATGATTTGAGGTTTGCATCTGGAATCTGGGATCCATGTATGTGTTATGTGATATGATGCAATATTGGGTGGTACAGATAGTCCACTCGCTTCACTATTCTCTGTATCCGAGGAGGGACAGAACAAGGCAGGTTGTGTTGGCGTTGGGGCGCTTCTCTGGCGGTATGTTGCCGTCTTAAAATGAGTGGCTGCTCCCGATGTTGGGACTTTGTTTCTCACAAGGTGCGTGGTGCTCATTGGAGAAGCAAACCAATAGTGAGAGAAACCAGACATCCACGCGCTGGGTCGGTTCGAGAGATGTATAGTTGAGACACTGTACGTATTCGTTCGATTCTGGGCTGAGCGGGATACTGGTATAGCAGGCGAATTTACGACATTGGAAGGCGTAACGGCTGGAGTCACTCGTTATTATTGGTGTCTGCGGTATAGACGTGTCTGTCAACCAGTGTGTAGATCATGTATACATTGTCCGGCTACTTCAAGAGTGAGAGGCGACCAACATGCTTAGTTTTACAACAGCCACCGTGCAGGATCTGACCATCAGAGGTGCAGTCTGCCTATATTCCTCCTCCACTGTTCTGGTATGCTGCATCAGCGATCGGTGCTGTCAACGTTTACGGCTTGCTCTCTCCGGGGTGCTCGCCCTGTCCACCCTCCTGCTTGGTGACCTCGTCGCTGGCGTATGTCAGTATGTTGCCATGAGTTCTCAAGACAGGTAAACAAACATGTGCTTGGTGAGCTCTTCGATGTGCTTCTGCTGCTGCTGAAGCTTCTGGCGGATCGCAAGGAGTCTAGATAGGTTAGCATACATGTCGAGCTGCCGCAGAGCTCGGGTGGACGGACCTGGCGTGCTCCTCCTGCTTGATGTACATTTCCTCGGCGGCGGTCTCGCGCTTGGTGAAAGCGTCACTGCAAAGAAAATTCCGTTAGTATCTCTGGTTATGAATTGAAAGGGATGTAATCCTACCCTTGGCGGCTGCCACCCGGTCGCGACGCGCCCGAGCCGGTCTCACCGGCGAAGACACGCACGGAGCTGGAGAAGTAGCGAGTAGTGGCGGGAAGGCGGGCAGCCTTGACGACGGAAGTGCGGAACATTGTGTTTGGAGTGATGAGAGGCAATTGGGCGAGATGCGGTATATGTGGGAGGGGAAGAGGTGGTTCGATGAGCTTGAGATCACGATCAGTCGATTGGAGCACGCTGGAGCTTTGGGCACGGGCCTGCGTCATGTCATGTGACGTTGGAAGGCGGGTGAGCAACCATCAGGCTATGCACTATTGACTGTTCGAAAACGGGGCTTCATACTTCTAGCCACAAACCAATTGATGTGGCGATCCTTCATTCCAGCTGTGTCGCAAAAGGGTCTGAGGTCGTGATTGTGTTGATAGTGGCTAGCGTCCACAGCGTGAATTACCAAGCTCCAGGGCTGAAGGTGAAACCCCGCATAAACATGTCAATAGATTTGTTTGGGCCTCTGTTTCAGAGAAGGGCGCCTGGCACGTCGCGCAGTGCTTGGTGAGGCTTCTCTCCGCCGTGCGACCGCGCAGGTGAACGGCGAGTCCCCGAGGTCTTTGTAGTATCTAGCATCACATCGTGGCGGGGCAGCCGACGCAAGGCGATAGCCGGAGCACGGCATGCTGGACTCACATTGTGCGGTGTTGTTGGTGCTGGCCAGTAGAGCCGGCACGCAGTAGTCTACCAGTCTCTGCAGGCAGGTGCGATCGCCGCAGTGCGAGAAGGCGCGCCCCTTCTGGATCTGGGCTGTGAGGTAGGCACGGCCGAGTCTTGGCAAGAGCACATTGACCTCCTCGACTTCACCTCTCCCCACTTCATATCAACACCGACACCTTCCACAGGAGACCTATACCCATACCGCTCTTCAAAGCACCCCCACCCGCCACTTTCCTGCAGAAACATCTCGCCCGTCACTCTTCACCCTTTCGTAAGTACCTGCCTGCGCGTTGGCTTTCGTCATCCCCCCTCTTCAAAGCCGCGGATCGGGCTGCATTTTGCTCCCTCGCCGCCTTGCCGCACGCCAGCCAGTGCCATCAAGCCGCCGCCTCCGCCGATTCCGCCACCCTCGACGAGCCTCATTGCAGCACATCGCGGGCAGGGACGACTGTTTGCGCAGGCACGCTGGTGTAAACTCTGCGCGACCCCTCCACGACACTACTCGCTGCAGTAGCGTGCGGCTGCCCGCGAACACAAACGGCCCACGGCACCGGCTGCTGGTCCCAATTGGTGCGCCTCTCTACACAGAGCCGCTATCGTTTGCATGGACCGCCCTCTGCGACAAACTACACACAACAATCCCATCAGGCACTCTGGCCGGCGTGACGTCGTCATAGATTGCGCCTCACTTTCGCAGCTATCATCTGCTAACTTCTACTCGCATCAGATCTTCCTCCAACGACACAATGGGTTACGAAGACTCAGTTTACCTGGCCAAGCTGGCCGAGCAGGCCGAGCGCTATGAGGGTAAGTGATCCAGTAGCGACGCGCAAATTTCCCGCTGATCGCCCTGCAGAGATGGTCGAGAACATGAAGGCCGTCGCTTCCGCAGACCAGGAGCTTTCCGTCGAGGAGCGAAACCTCCTCTCCGTTGCTTACAAGAACGTCATTGGTGCCCGCCGTGCCTCGTGGAGAATCGTCACATCCATCGAGCAGAAGGAGGAGTCCAAGGGCAACGAGACTCAGGTCGGGCTCATCAAGGAGTACCGCCAGAAGATCGAGGCCGAGCTTGCCCAGATCTGCGAGGACATCCTGGCGTGCCTCGACGAGCACTTGATCCCCTCCGCCGAGAGCGGCGAGTCCAAGGTGTTCTACCATAAGATGTAAGCGCCGGTAATGATCGTAGCTGTATAAGCACGCAAATTGACCATTTTACAGGAAGGGTGACTACCACCGTTACCTTGCCGAGTTCGCCGTCGGCGACAAGCGCAAGACTTCTGCCGACAAGTCCCTTGAGGCATACAAGGCTGCCACCGAGGTCGCTGCTAGCAGCTTGGCCCCCACCCACCCCATCCGCCTCGGTCTTGCGTTGAACTTCTCCGTGTTCTACTACGAGATCCTGAACTCTCCGGATCAGGCTTGCCAGCTCGCCAAGCAGGCGTTCGACGACGCTATTGCTGGTATGTATCGCCCGTGCCAAAACTCGAACAGCGCTGATTCGACTGCAGAGCTCGACACACTCTCCGAAGAGAGCTACAAGGACTCCACGCTCATCATGCAGCTTCTCCGTGACAACCTGGTAAGTACCTACATCCCAATTCGAGATTGGCGTATATTAACGCAAGTCGCAGACCCTCTGGACCTCCTCCGAAGCCGAGGCTCCCGCAGAGTCCACTCCCGCAGATGCCCCTGCCGCCGCCGACGCGACGAAGGAGGAGCCCGCTGCGCCGGCTGCCGCCGCAGAGGAGCCCAAGGCCTAAGCACCTACAATCGGTTCGGAGAGGCAAAAGTGAGGGTTCTCGGTTTGGTGCATCGGAATGGGTAATAAACGCCTGTTTCATTGGTCCCATGGCATGGAAGGTTCTCTAGGGTGCTAAGGGCTGCGCTTCATTAGACTCCGAAATCATCCTGTCAACATCTTACTCCGCCTTTTATCCCAGGCCTCCCCTCGCCACTAATGCGCCCCCTTACACACGAACGGTCTTGTATGCTCTCTCGGCTTCGCTGGATGGGGAATGGATCTGGGCCTCTGTTGGACACTATCTTACCCTGCGAAGCATTGAGAGTCTAATGAGTCTATGATTCAAGGACGAACAACTTACCATATATTTTCCTTTTCAATCTTTCCTTTTTCTGATCTGACATGTTGGTGTTGTTATTGTCCGCCGTCACCCTGTCTCTTTCGCTCACGCGCACTTGAGTGGTGAGGTCACGCGTTTTAGAGGTGTATGCGCTGTACGGTCTTCTTTGACTTGACACACGTCCAAAAATAAAATAAGATTATAGGCTCGCGAGGGCTGGTTATACCTCTCTGCGTCCATCAAAGCTTCGCTGTCGGATATGGTTTCGGTGGCGGCTCTCAACTACCTGCCGATGGTCCCAGCGAGCGTAGGTGAAGGTGAGATTTCATTCCCGACCCTGCTTCACCAGCGCACCCTTCATTTAAGCCAAGCCTGTCTGGCTGATAAGTAGATATGTTTTGATTTCTTGTCCAAAGTCACTTCGTCTCTCTATCCTACTCGCAACGTCTCTCCAACCCGGAGCAGGAGAGCGGGGGGTTCGACAACCAAATATCTCTGTAGGTATTATCAAAGCTGAGACGTCAGAAATTGTGAACTAACGATATATCGTGCAGGCGCGAGCAGCGCGTTCTAATTGCGTTTCTCGCTTGAGCGAGGTGAGGTACAGGTGGTGCCTTCTGGTTTTGCGACTGGGTTCAAGCAACGAGCGAGACAGTCGCCTGCGACGCCGTCGTACCTCGTTGACCCGTACAAGACCAGGCAATACAACTACCAGAGTAGGTCCGTTGAATGGCGCCAAAAGGAAGGTGAGGGTCCGAGTTTGAAAGCTGATGCCGCTGCAGGAAGTGCTTGACACCTCGCCATCTTCCGCAGAGACGATTACCGATCCGAAGGCACCTCAAGCCGCGGCTGTTAGTCCAGACAGCATGCTGACTTACGTCACTTCGCTGACTCATACCCAGGGCAATTCTGTTCCCCGTTCGCCCTCCCGCTACGGACAGCGCTATCCCGAAACGATTGGCTCAATTAGCTTCTGCGTAGTTCTAAAATGGACCCCGTGTGTCCGACATGTCTGGTAAAGACCAAAAGCCCGCTGAGCCAGAGCACTGCATGTGCTGCTCTTGCAAGAAAGCCAAAGCCGACAAGTCACAAGAAGTGGAGCTGGCAACCGGTGCATGGCAGACGATCTCCACGGTGATGGAGGCTCTAAAAACACAGCAAGTTAAGTCTGGATCTCGATTCCTCGACCTACCAGCAGAGCTGAGGTGCCTCGTTTATGAGGAGCTGCTGGTCGTTGGCAAAGTGTTCTACAAGGATACTCACATCACTAAGCGGGGCAATACCATACGTTTCAATGAAATGCAGTATTTCAGGGAGCCTTGATTTGCGATCCTACGAACCAGCAAATTGATCTACAACGAAGTGGAGAAGGTATATCTATCGAAGAACTTGTTCGTCCTTTCACCTCGATGGCAGCAGTATGCACCCTTCAAGTACAGCCCGCACCATTCGAACAGCAGAACTGTCTTCTCTAAGCGAGGATTGATATATGTGCGCAATTTGAGTTCCGCCACGGACCGTACAGAGTTCGTCATTGACGATGCATTGCCCATAAATGGTAATGAGGACGAAGACTGGTATGATGATTCTGACGGTCATTTATACGACAACTTTACGCCGACGGAACGCCTGGAGATGATGCACGGACAAGCTTTGGAGGATATCTCTTCAAGGCCTCCGATCTCGAGGGCCTTGCGCTTGGTCGTACGAGCATCATCATATCCATTGATGACATTTATCGAGAATCTCATCTCAAAAGGGTGCATTTTAAGGCGATAACAACCCCCCTGGAGTACGACTCGAGCTAGAGATGATCTTCCTTGCCTTGATATTGTCTCAATAGGATGTATGGGCATCGTTGTGGATATCCTAATGCAATGATCAATGAAGTTTTCACGTTTACGAATCTGATCCACTATTCCTCTAATAGGACACCGACTTGGCCTGTGTTTCTTCCACTTCAGGTTAGTGAGTCAGAAGCAGTGTCATACACCAGTCTGGGTCTTCATCATTGCTAGGGCCTGCAAATTGTTCGGTCCTTCTCGTTTCCTTCGCATGCGCTCCCACATTCCCTTTCTATGTGTTGAATTCGCCCACAACGGCTACGATCGGTGTGTAGGTTGGATTAAGCTTCCATGGATAATTCGGCACAAGGCGTGCTCTCGAAGGCGCTAGAGTAGGTTGCAGATTAGAGGGTGTTCGTTGCCAGCTGCTGATGAGTCTACAGTACCAGCTTGCGTGAGAACAACAGCCCTGTTTCCCCAAAAAGTCTGAATGTAGCAAGACGAATGGCGAGACAACGCAGACTGCGAAAGTCGAATCGGAGCAGAACTACACAAATGCGCAGGAGGTCAACACCGCATCTCGATTCGTGGACCTTCCCGTGGATATGAGGTGCTTAGTCTATCTAGAGCTCGTGGTCGTTGGCAAGATCTTTTACTAGGGCACAGACACTGAGCAACGGAGAAACATTCGATACCGCGATAGAGCCTACTATCGGTCACCATTCCTGGAAATACTTCACGTGTGCAAGTTGATTCACAAGGAGGCACAGCCTGTTTACCTGTCCGAGAACCCGTTTGTTTTATTATTGTTGTGGTATCTGCACAAGCCTTTTAGGAATGGCCGCAAGACATATGCGGTCACGTCAAGGGTGCATTTTCAGGGCGCGGCATTATTTTCGTTCAGAACGTCAGCACTCGTCCCGACCATACTGAATTTATCGACCTACGACGAAATCAACTATTTCTTCGTGTTGTTCTTATCGTTTGGGTGAAGCCCGGGAACAACTACAATTATGCATCCCAAGAAGAAAGACTCGAAATAATTAATGACACATGTTGACAATGTTTGGGGTTGGGTCGTCGAGTAGGGCTTAAGGCGGTATCATGGACTTCACTATTGCACGTGCCGGCATCTCAACGCCTACATTCAACTATGTGGGGATCGATCTGACGTTCTTGTCTTTTAGGTTGCTGTTGGTGTCTAGAATACCTTAAGCTCAGGCTTATCAAGTACCTCGATCCAGAAGCCATCGACATCATTGGCAAAAGAAACCTCATAACAAAAATCGTCGACCGCGAAAGCGGTTTAGCGAAGGGGTTGGTGGTGGAGTTGTATGAGCATTTCACGTCGAGCAAAGAGTCAGGCGAGAAGCTAGCTAAAGTCCACTTGGTCGACAAGCGTAAGATATATTTCCGAGATGCTGCCGACTCACTGCGATAGAGCAAGTAGAAGTCCCACACCAAACAAAAGGAGGCCAAGAAAATCGGGAACTCTGAGCCAGGGTTCAACGCTCGCGCGTAGCATCATCAGGCGTTATTTCGCGTACCCACACAGTCAAGATCCTACGTTCTCCACGGCACTGTGGAGCTCTCTCGCAGAATCATCAAGACTGGAGCCATGGGGTGCAGCACTATGTGCTGCAAACAGTCGAAGCTTCATTGAGCTCTTTGACAGATAGCACCGCGTAGACTTCTCAGCACCATCTACACTCAATTCCACATCACGGAGAGTGAACCGAAAAGTATAAATATAATTGTCGCCTTTCCCTAGCGTCGCTGTGTATCAACAAACACTGGACTCGTATGATGGCGAACCCACCACCACATCCTGAAACGATACCTGGGCTTTTGAACTCAGCCCGATGCGACAAGATAACCCTCTAGTGTTTCTGTTGCTCTCAGTATCTGAGCTTCTCATCTTGAAACTCAATTACAAAAGACCTGGTGTTAGGTTCGAAGTGGGACTTCTGGCACATGAGCGACTAGGCTGCGTTTATAGCAATCATTTGAGATGACACAATATACCTGACGTGGTACCTGCGAATGGCTACGACATAAGTCGTGAAGTTGGCTTGGGTAAACGATCATCTCACCGCATGTGTTGGAACATTCGGCGCTATCAAGGAGGGAGTAGGGCCGGAGTGGGGTCGCACCTCCCCTTCCATCATCACTGCCTTTGCAATTGCCGTGTTCCTGCGGTTGGACCCATTGTTGGCCTTTCTTTATGACTCCGTGTCACATGTTAATTGCGGCTAACAAGCATGGTTGCCATTTGGTTGCTTGGAAAGGACTAATTTGTTCACTCGCATGAACAAGGCCGGGGCTCAAAACGCGCCTCCTTTTCATCATAGGGAGGCTATGTCTACACTGCAATCATCAAGACAACGGAATTTGCTGTGTTCGTTCGTTTGCAAGAGCCTCGATCCGACGCTACCATCTCTAGGTCAACTCAAGCCCGTATCGTGGAATTGCCGTCGCGCAAGCCGAAACGTGGGGAAAGCCACGGTCCAGAAAACATTCCGCAGCCACTTCCCAGCCTTGCCACCCGTGATCCGCAGTTGACCCGGGGAATGCACTGAAACAGCTTAGCCCCAAAGACTAGACCCCGTTCGCGGTCCACATCGCTCGCTTTTCCTCCAGGATTGATATTAGTGTCCCGGGTTAAACAGATATGTTTTGAGGATATACCGAGTGCGCCTATGCAGGTACTCGCGGCATGGTGCATGGACCTCGTGGGCGACGGGTTAAAAGATGGGGATGCCTCGTGCGCATAGTGCAGTGGTTGTATCGCACTCGCTGCCTTCGCAAAGATGATGCTTCAGAATTGGGCCCAGTTCGCACTTACGGTGGGCGTTGCGCTTGCCAAGCCTCCCATTTCGAAACAGTATGCCACGGGTAACTTCGAAGCGAAATGCGCGTCCATCGCGTCGAAGCTCGATGTAGAGAATGCGACGGTCTATTTCTCCCAGTTTGTCGCCGCTGGCCAGAACTTGAGCATCCCGGACAGGAACGTAACATGTGGTCCCCCGTACCAAGCTGTGTCTGCAGACTTGTGCCGCATTGCGTTGTACGTCGCTACGTCGAAGAGCTCAGGGATCAACATGGAAGCTTGGTTGCCGTAAGTTCTCCTTGCAGATATGCCTGATATGTAGGATGCTAAAAGAACATCGAAGTTCAAACTTCAGCGGTCGCTTCCTCTCGACCGGCAATGGCGGACTTGCAGGCTGCATTGGATACGATGACATGGCCTATACCACGAGCTTGGGCTTCGCCAGCGTTGGTGCGAACAATGGCCACAATGGAACAAGCGGAGGAGCCTTCTACAACCAGCCGGAAGTAGTAGCAGACTTCGCGTACCGCTCGTAAGTCATATGTTTAACGGGGTTTGAGCGCATGCTAAGCAGAAACAGAATCCATACCAATGTCTTGGTGGGCAAGGAAATCACGAAGAAATTCTACGGTTCACCACATACCAAGTCCTACTACCTTGGATGCTCGACAGGTGGACGACAAGGCTTCAAATCGGCTCAGGACTTTCCCGAGGACTTTGATGGAATCGTCGCAGGAGCACCAGCTCTCGCTTTCAACAACCTTACCTCGTGGAGTGGACATTTCTACAACGTCACTGGTCCGCCAGGCTCTGAGACCTTTGTACCGACCGCCATGTGGTTGACTACCATCCACGAAGACATCATGAAGCAGTGCGATTTGATTGACGGCTACGCGGATGGAATCATCGAAGACGCCTCCACCTGCAAGTACAACGCGTCTAGCCTCCTCTGCGGCGGCAGCAACACGGACTCGTCATCTTGCTTGACAGCTACCCAGGTCGAGACCGTCCAGAAGGTATTTTCTCCTCTGACACTCTCAGACGGCTCCCTGGTCTACCCGCGCATGCAGCCCGGCTCCGAGGGTGTTGCCGCATTTGCAGTCTACGGTGGTGCACCATTCATCTACAACGTCGACTTCTTCCGCTACGCAATCTACAACGACCCCAACTGGAACCCCCTCACAATCAACGAAACCGATTACATCAACGCCGCGATCAAGAACCCCTCCAACATCGACACATTCAAGGGCGACCTGAGCGCAGTCCAAGCCCGCGGCGCTAAGATCCTGCACTACCACGGCCAGATGGACGGCATCATCACGTCTGAAAATTCGCCCCGCTACTACGAGCACGTGTCCAAAACGATGGGCAAGACACCCGCCGAGCTCGATGACTTCTACCGCTTCTTCCGCATTTCTGGCACTGGGCACTGTCAGGGTGGAGACGGCGCATCGGTCATTGGCCAAGCCCTTCAGTCCTTCCAGAGCACGGATCCCGCCGAGAACGTGTTGATGGCTGTGGTCGACTGGGTCGAAAATGGGAATGCGCCAGAGACTATTGTGGGAACGCACTGGGTCAATGGAACGCAGAGCGCTGGAGTGGATTATAAGAGGGCGCACTGCAAGTATCCCAAGAGGAATGTGTACAAAGGCAAGGGAGATCCAAAGGCGGTTGAGAGCTGGGAGTGTGTGGAGGAACGATCCACTAAGACTGACCCATGTTGATGTGCTTTTGTAGCGTACAGCCAGTGTTTCTATTGATTTGATAAATCGATGATTTGTACTTTAGTACCTTTTCCATGAAGATGAGCCTCAAGATTCGGACAGTGACTGTGGCGACCCTGGACTTTATGAAGAGAAGAAGCCTATTGAGTCGCTGTCGAGCTCGCAATTGTCGATGTCGCAGTCGATGAATTGTCGCTCCCATTTCCCAAAAAGAATCCCACAAGCGCACCTGCCAGCCGCACTTCAGCCTCCAACGCCAGACTATGCCCACACTCCTCGAAGATATAGCTCTGCTGGACATTGTTCCCTACCTGCAGCATTTCCTCCCTCACATTAACCCCAAAGAATTCCGGTGCTCCGATTGTCATCACGGGCAGCGTAAGCGGGTTCTGCCGAAGTTCGTTGTTGATTTGTCCTGAATAGACTCAGCATGTCTATAGCTTGTGGTCGACGCTGTAAAGGTCGATGGCAGGCTGAATGGGCGCTCACTTACGGTTCACCAAGTCTGCTCTATACGTTTCCAGAACGCCTCTCAAGCCACCCGGCGCTTTGATGGAATCAATCCACTCGGTAATCGCTTCTCTGCTGATAGAAATGGGGTTGTAGCATTCTGCCTCCATGAAGTACGTCCAGAACTCCGCTTCTTTGCCTGTGATGAGCATTTCGGGGACGTTGGCAATCCAGAGGAAGGGAATGTGCCACTGCCATACGCCGCGTAGCCTGCAGCGATTGATGAGAATGTATGTGGCAGGTTGAGAGGGGAAAACCTTACTCATACTGCGCGTTCACGTTCTCGGGCGTGAAGTAGGACCACGTGTCGAGCGATACACCCGACAGAAGCATTTCGCAAAACGAGAGTTTCATCACTCGATCCCGATAAATTGCTGCTACTGCGTAGGCGTACTCAGCACCGCCTAAATCCACGAATTAGTATTTCGCCCGTCCAAATAAACAGGTATCGATACCTACGGTCCTCTCCATGCACGGTAAATCTCTCAAATCCCAACAAACTCATCAATCCCGCCATATCCGCCGCCTGCGCCGTGTTGTTGTATCTCATCGCTGCAGGCGGTCTGTCGGTATACCCGAAGCCTCGCACATCTGGCGCAACGACTGTGAAGTATGGTGTTAGTAGCGGGACGAGCTTTTGCCAGTAGTAATTCGTCTTTGGGGTGCCGTGTATGAGGAGGAGAGGAGGCCCGGAACCAGCGATGTAGTAGTGCATGCGGATATCGTTGAGGCGGGCGCGGCCGTGTCTAGTGAGGGGGAGAGTTAGAATGTATTTCACACGTTCGTAAGAGATCCCGTTGTGGATTGTTGTGCCCGTGTAGATAGATTTGGATTCTTTGCATATAAACGCTTTCTCGCTGTCAACTAACTCATTTGGGCATACTTGCCTTACAGCGTTGCCATTGTGGTCGTAGACTTCGGGCCGCGTGCTCCAAGGTATGGGCTGGATGTTTCGGGAGTAGTTATTGCCGGACGGGATGAGGGTGCTGCCATTCAGCGGGATGGGAGGTGCCGTGGGGAGAGGCTCGGAAGGCATGGACATGGATGCATCTTGGGCGATAGATGCACCCAAGACCGCGAGTGTGATTACGAGCTTGGTGAAGCGCATTATGATTTCGCCGATGGCCCTCGCAGCTTTGGAAGCCTAGAAAGTACATTGAGACTCTCACGCCGGTTTATAAGTCTTTCAATTCATGCAAGATCTCGATGCCAAGCTGCTGGTCTACAGTTGCTGCGTCATAGTATTTACACGACTAGTGAATGGGGAAGCAGCTGGGAATGCTTCTGGTCTTTTTTTCAACGGATGATTTCGATCTGGCGTCTTGATGTGGCGGAGAAAGTTCCGATGCGTCGGGGTAGATTTGCATCCCCGCAAGATCTATGTAATCCACTAGCGTTGTGCAGGCATGCAACCCCGCGAAAAACATCGGGATCCTGAATTCGGTACATCAGGGAGAAAAGCTACTTCTCTTTCCGTTCCCACTGCCAGAAGAGGTTCCTGTACTTGTCTCCTTTCTCTCCCCGCACGCTCTTCCCATCTTTCGTCATTGAGACCAATTTGCCTTGCCAACTCGCTACGACACCGCCTCCAGGTCCATCTTTGTCAAGTAGAGTCTGCTCGTCAGGTTCGATAACATGGGTGTAGTACGGATCTTTGAACGCTTCAAGGAAGCTATCGAGTGACTTGACAAGAAAAATGGCTATCCCATCAAATTCGATAGGCTCGCTAGGAAGTGCAGACTGATTGACTGCATTGGGAGCAGACGATGAAGCAGCGGAGGGGACCATTCGACCAGCGCAATGGATCTAAAAAGTAATCAGCGATGCGAGGTCTTGACAAAGCAGAGGTTCGCGGACTTACCTGCTGATATTGCACAATACCATGCTTTTCTGCCCAAGGTATGACTTTCGGGCCATGCACGTTTTCCCAGTGATCATAGAATTTCTCGGGAGTCAGCTGACGATTTCGCCGAATGTGGGTTAGGATCTGGATATAGTTTTCCTTAGCCATGTCTGTTCTCTCCTCACTGGGTGAATATCCTGTGGGTCAGTTGGTGGAAGTGTGCAGCCTTTATAGACCACATGCAGCGCATTGTGGAGCTTGCGGAAACCCGGAGTTTACAAAGGTAAGGTCCGCATAAGTGCGTTCTTTTCATAAGAAATGTGAGCATTACTGTTGTCTGCGGAAGATAGGGATGATGCCAAGGGCGCACGATGTGGGGAAACGGCTTCTGTACGCCCGACGAGATTCGGTACATAATTGATTTGGCTTGGAAGCACTCACTTACTTTGGGTTTTAGGTGAGTAAGAAGCCCCAATAGATGGAAACATTGCAACATAAGCCAAAGACATATTCTTCCAGAAGTGGGTTTGGACAGAGTAAAAAATCATGTGACTCCTACCGCGCCCTGGGCTGGACGTCCGACACCTTCCCATTCTTGGTTAGTTATGCTCCACCGAGACTCCAACCATTTGAAATGCTGAGATGTCCCGCACGGTTCATCGACGAAGACAGGAACAACAAAGATGGCTAGCAAGTACGCATACCTTTCTTACAAATACGATATCAGTCGCTTGTTATAGTTGGTAATCAATTGGTGCTGCCCATACAGCAGCGAGCGCAGGTTGTCTAAACACCACCGGTCGGTACACGGTAGCCGAGATCGTACAAATGTGCAACATAATTGCGAAGAATCGTGAAGATACCCGTCACAGTATAATTCGACTTTCGGGAGATAATTATCAAAGCACCGTCAATGATCCACGGTGTCTTCCAGCGATCGGCGGAAGCAGCCTCAGTAGATGCAGGAGAGCAATATCACGCAAGGTTACTCCCTCCACGAACCCCTAAATTTTTAGAAAACCGCAAGGAGAATATCTGACAGGTCGCAAGCTTAGGGAGATGACATGTAGGAACATGGAAGCGGATGTGTGCGGCCAGGCACACTGTTAAAATGACTTTCCGAGCGCTGACCTACGCGTCCACTCGATTTTTCAAGGTAGCCGAAGCTATTGTCAATGCTCAGCAAGATGATTTTCATTCAATATACTTTTTGAAAGATGAAAATTGCAGAGTCGAAAGCGAGCGATCTTGTACGGAGTATTTGGCGTTGACCAGCCCAGGGGAAGCTCGTGGCGAATTCTCAAAAGAGGTGGAGCGTCATCATGTCCGCAAAATTCTGTCTGACGTATTTATTCTGACGAATGCGGCCTTTAAAATGACCGGAACTTCCTTCACATTCACAGGGAGACTGCAAGATAATACTATGAGATATACCAAGGTTCAGCATCGAATCCCACAAACTGCTGCTTCTGGGACATTGCCCCAATACTCAGAGACCGAATCGACGAGGATGAGGGGTTCAATATTGTTTGAGCGGGTGTAGACTTGGAGTAGAAGAGCAAAGGTAATGAAAGTATCACCGTTGTACTGTATGACAATAGCATGCTCAAGGCATTGATTATAAAACCGTTTTAGTGACAAACAGCAGTTCCTAGTGTTCTAGATATGTCCAATGGATACAGATAGGTGAGTACATATGCGTCCTGAGTAGCTGATTCTCGATCAGATAGAACTTTGACAGCTGATACTCGCTACGGATATGGTCAAGGGCTGACTTTCTTTTTCGATAGTACGTAGGTAGTGATCAATGATAAGCGGATATGATTCACACTTTGCAAAATTCGTCTTGCTCATGAACTTTGTGTTCCATGCAATGGCAAAGAGGACATCGACGGCAATGAACGCGTTGTATGGTAGAGCCGGAGTTCTTGAAGCCCCAGAAGTTGACTAATAGAGCTATTTACAATGCCAATTCTTCACATAGTGGCGTATGGTCATACTTCTAAGACCAAGCTCCGACGCAGGGTCCATGTTCACAGGTAGCAACTACAACAGCCAGTGTAGATCCGCGGATCCCCGAGCCCACCACAAACCCAAAAACCACAACCACACCCCTATGCCAGGCTCAATCGAAGAGCAAAAATGCAAAGATGCATCAGCCGGGTGCCGAACCAGAAAAAATCCGATGTTGAGCAATTTGAAACCACAAAAAGATATTGTTACTTGCATCGGCCGGGCTAATTATTGTTAGAATTGTTATATTTTTGCGAAGCGGCGTAACTCACAATCGAACCCGGGGCTAGCCGAAACTGGATGGCAACGGCTAATTTTACCACTAAACCACCGATGCGTTTGTGACTTGATTGTGAACATTCTTTTACATACAATCAATATATAGTCTTTTTTCAATATTACCTACCCTTGAAAATCGAAAATGATATCCTCCAATTATCGGCCCATGATGACGCAATGAGCTTATCCCATTAGCGCTAATTGTTGGTGGCTGAGACTAGGCCTTGCCAGCCATTTGCGAAAACCGAAAAGTGGGTTCCCAGATATAGCGTGCGCCGCACATTGCAACAAGCACTTGTTATGATTCATTCGACGTCGCACCATGTCAGTTTGATAACAATGGCACTGCGCTTGCAATAGGCACAGCCAATGTCAAGCCGTGCGAAACACGAGTTGAAGTTAAGGAAGTCTCGCAGGCTCAACTTTAGTACAAACAGACTAAGTCTCTTTTGAGATAGTCTTCACAAGGCTACATCGCAGTTCTTTTGCACGAGCTGACTTACGCAATAAAAGCTGTGGATTCGCGTTTTCCCTAGTGTTATGAATCCGGTTGTAAAGTAACCAAGGTAGAGTCGGACTGTTGAGGGAAATGGATAAGCACAATTAGTGATTTGCAACAGCATTGTTCAGATTGGCGGGTGGGTGTTTGCAGCTCATGTACCGGTACACCCGCTCAACATGACGACCATGCATCCCCACTTAGCCACCTGACAAACTTCAAGTTGAACTAGCACCTTTAGCAATGGATATAGAAACTTCCTCGGCACTCGAGCCTCCTTCCCTTTGTGTCCAGGCTCGACTCGAAAGCCGTGACAAGTAAACGACCAGTGATGCACATGCATGCGACTGTTCTGAGGTCTATGACAAGAAAATGGCGAGATGCTCGAGTAGAGAGTCAAGCCTAAAAGAAGCCAAAGGCTTTGCAGGGCGACTTCTACAGCTAGTGATCTCGATTGTTTCATCCCTGGCACGACTAGTGGCCTCAGATCGTAACAAAAATGGCACGTCATTCAACCTACCTTTGTCTAACATGCCCACACAGACTGGTGGTGAAAAGTTCTTGAGACTGTATTCTGAGGTCTTGCGCGGCATGGACGTCGAGGAGAGGGGCATAGTGCCTTGGTGAGGAGTCGGATGACGGCATGGGATTGAGCGATTCGGACGGCGACAATGATGGCGTCTCGAGATATGATCGAAGTAACGATGATGCAGCAGCTAATATATCTCAGTAATTTTCGTACCAAACTGAGTTAGAGTGGACACAAACCGGGTGCAATTTGACCATCAAGAAATAAAGAGACGAAGTCGCTAATCAGGGAAGGAAAACGATGCGCAGGAGGAGATTGGAATAAAGGTGGGCCAGGGCAACATATAAAGATAAAGTTTGACTATGCGATTGTGATTGAGAAACTCGGAGAACGGGGCCGAGAAGTGAAGTGAACAGCGCGCGATGAACCTCTACTATGGCGCAGCACCGAGCGTAGATCATACCAGTCTACTATCCTTTTCTAATTTTGGATTAAGTAAACAGAAATTTACTACCCAATTCGCGCAGGCACCCAACGGAGACGTATTACGAGGCAGGCGGACTGCTCGACTGAGAAGGTGTAGATGTGGTAGAGGTCTTCGAGCTTGGGATTAGCGGTTTTGGTCTCAACAGGCTGAACAGCAGTATCAGGCGTTGTAGAAGGCCTAGGCAAGTGTGAAGCCGCAGGAGAAGAGGGAGGCGTGTATCTGAGGCCGGGCGGGAAGGGGGAGGGCCGGGAGTGGCTAGGCAGGAGTGGACAGCACTTACCTGTACAATGCGGATTATCCTCTCTACGTGGATGTATATCTACACCTTTTCTTTGCCTTTTTTGTGAGAAAATATTCCAATATCCTCCAACAAGCCCATCTCTTCGGGCGATCCTTACTCGAGTTCGGCTGCATCTGATAAGCGATCAAAGTGAGAATCATGGCCCGGGAGCAGCCGAGATGTTTCATCAGGCTATACCTCAGGAGACACAAATAGCGCATGATAGCACCGAATTCTCGATAGTCAAGCTTTGGTCATGGTGAATGTAAGATGGGTTTCCTTTCTATGAAGGCCCAGACACCTATTTTCAGGATAGAGCGGTTCATGGAAACACAGCTTCTCATCTTATTTCTTATGTATCCGCATGCTGTGGCAATGGATCAGAGGTTCCATGATAAATTATACAGTTCACTATTGTTAATGTACCAACTTCCGACATACGAAATCGATTTCCGAGATACAGCATTTTCAGTGTATAAGTCGCCATTTCACGGGAACTCCCACTAAACCACCGATGCGTTTGCTTTGTTGATGAAATTCATCTGGTAACATTTACATATAGCCCATAACATCTAGTTACCTATCTCTACAGGTAGGCTTCTATATTTTAAAATTAAGAAAAGACATCTTTTATGACGCTAGGTCAGTCACTAAGAGCGGATACGTCGTGTTCTGGCTTATCACATCAGTCTTTTACAGAGTATTTCAGTTCACCGTAGACGCTAATTTTACATCTACCAATAACTACTTGACATCAGCCCATGCTAATGTAGTTTGCTGATGCTAATAGCGCTTAGGACAGTTTCCGAAATGAACGCTGCTAGTATTATCAGCGTAGATTCTATACTTCTTATTCTTAGCAGGGAACAACAAACTATTCTTCTTTGAAGAGAGATACCTACTTGAGAACCAGGTAGTACTTTAGTGTTCTTTAAGGACTAGAATCTCAAGGTAACTTTCTATGTTATTAGAAAGGTTTAGCTAGCCTACTAGGGGATAACGAGAGCTCTACGTTCGGAGGCGATGAACTTCTTAAGTGGGCCAGGCAGCGGTTTTCACGGAAAGCACCGATATTGTTGGTGGCTGAAACTAGCCCCATTTCCGAGAACGAGAAGTGTTTTCTTGAATCAACAGCGACGCCCTGTCAAACACCTTTCGCTTGTCACTATCTTCTTTCCAATTCCCAATCTCGATGTCTGCATTTGGGACACAACCTAGAAGGGCTCGCTGCACTATACGCGTGACGCCTTGGGGGCAGAAGCAGCTTCTCAATCACGTAAATTGTGACACCTGGCGTTGAGGTGTACAGCCGCCGCAGGATTTGCAGCCTATGCAGTAAAGCACACTTTTTAATACCAGATGATAGCAGTCGAATCCCCTGGTGTCCGCATCTACACAACTACTACGCTAAACTCGTGCTGACTCAGAGTTACAAGATGTGCTAACCGCACATTCCATCCGCTCAATATAATATCATTGGGACCTTGGGCTTCATAACTATCAATGTGCGAGTTCTTGTACTTCGGGTGCTCATAAATCCTAGATACCCAACAACACGATTCTTAGACCTAAGCCAAACTACTACGACGTTCGTCGCTTGATCTTCGCTTGAAAATCCGAGCCCGTGAAACTTGGAATTGATTAGCTTATCACGTAAAACCGACTAACGCTTATACTATGACTTACTAAGTCAATAGAAGATCAACCCATTCCATATCTTTATCAGTAGTATTGTAAATCTCCAAATCGAAACGCCGGAAGAGATTTGCATACAGTGTGTACATCTCACAGAATGCAAGACTGCGACGCGATCGTCAATGTGTGTGCACTCATATGAACGAATATGCATTTACTTACTCCTTCCCAAGGCATTGTCTCGTTCCGCGATAGAAGCTAGCCATATACTTGTCGAAATGATCGGAACTTTCTGTTAGCCATCGTTCCGGTTTAAAATTCTTCCCGTCTGGAAAGACTGAAGGATGACGGTTCAGGAGGTACGCCGAAGTGATGAGGATTGTCTATACTCTTATATTAGTTTGTTGCTCAAAGTAAACCAGGGCAGTGGCGAGCCGACCTTGGCGGGCAATGTATGCCCATATAAATTGAACCCACCCGGGGGTACAACTCGAGGAGCCTTTCCGGGCAATGGATTGCTATATCTTATGGCCTCTTTAACGATAGCTGTCTTGAATATCGTCAAGCTAAACCCAGTTTGCCAGTTTCAGGTATACTTACAAGGTAAGGTAAACGTTTTGCCTTTTCATATGTTATCTCTTCTGTTATGTCTGGAAAAGCGGCAAGTAGTTCTTGATTCAGCTTCTGGCAGATGCTAAGGTTACGAAGTGTTTGGTAAATTCCAACAATGATAGCATCTGACGCGGTGTCATTCCCAGCTGCTAGCAACATTATGACCTCTTCAGCCAGTTGTGCAGCGTTCAAGGTACTATGGTCTTTAGCTGAGGCTGGATCGAGCAGCATGTCAATGACAACTGATCGATTGAATTCTGTCTTCGAAGCTGAAGCTCCTGTCGCGCCAACTATTGGAGCGTCCCGAGCCCGCAAATACTCATCTATCAGGGAGATGCATTGCTAATGGGGTGTTAGTTGAAGTTTCTGCGCGTTTGGATATGATGTATGTACATTTCTGAACTCCATGATCGGTATAGGAAATATTGGGAATGCCAGAGAAAACTTGAGGAAATTCGGGAATGCAGTTCCAATCCATCCAGAGGCGAAAGAGGCGTGCAAATACTCTATGAACTGGTTCTTGAACTCCGGATTATCTATGCATCCCAGTTCTTTACCTAGAACAATGTCGGATATGATGTCCATTGTAAACGCTTTGGATGCTTTGAACATATTCACGGGCTGTGACTGAGATGCGAAGCTATTGAAACGCTCGAGCAGACGATCAACTTTGGTTTTCACCATTGGCGCCAGATATTGCACCCTTTGAGGCGAGAATGCAGGAGTGAGAACCTGTCGCCTGATTTTGTGAAGGTTGGGATCTACTTCGCCAATGGAAGTTCCTGGAAACGTGATAAAACTATAGAACTCCGGATCCTTGGTAAAATGGCAGCCCACTTTCGTCATCTCCCGGAAGACTTCTGGATCGTTGATGTGCAAATCGTTGGGACCAATGCGGACGACGGGACCTTGAATAATTAGGTTCATGTACTGTGACGGAAAGGATTCGGTCGAACCTAGGCGCTCATGCAACCTTTCGATTTCGAACACCAGCATGCCCTTGTGGTGAAAATTCCAATACCATTCGTACCTTTGCAGAATAATTTGAGCTTGGATCTACCAGCAAAAAAGGTCGTAAGGGTGCGCATACCATGGTTTTGACACTGCAGCAACCTTTGAGCCTGGGTAGCGCGACAGTGGATGGAAAAATAGACGATAAATGGCTCGTACTACCCAGAAGGCTAAATATGCGGCGACGGAATTGATGACAACTCTTGCTATAGCGATCATGCTGTTTAAAATGCACGACTTGAAGCTGAGATCCGTGTTGAGTGACAAAGAAGAGTTAAACCAGCTCGTTACGAGAGCGCATGCGCATAGACCCGGAAAATTTACCGCCCCCAAAGACACAGCCCCATATCGTTTATTGAGTTGCATGGACGTATATGAGATATGATGCGAGAGCGGGGTTGCATGCGCGTAAGCGCCGAGGAGGCCAGGGAACCTGATCTCTGCATGATGCACATTCAGGCTTGTACATCGTCACACATGTACGGAATTTTAGGCACAACATCCGGATGGGGATGCCGCTAGAGTATCGGGATTCTAAACCAATTTGCACTGCTGTGTGTCATGTACTCATTGAAGAAATTATATGTTTAAGATGTTTGTTTAACGTGACATTGGCATCTAGATATCTATGCATAACATTACAAAATGTTCTTTTCAGCGAATTCGATTCACGCGCTCATTGTGCTTATCGCTCCTGCATATGGTTATCCTGGGCCTATACCAAGATCGCATGCCCCTGTCACCCACGTTGCACCTCGACTTGAGGGTGCGGACGTTGCCTGTTCCACGTTTGCAGCTGCATGGCCAGAAGCAGTTGTTACACGCGCCAACACAACGGAATATACTTCAGAAATCAAGGCGCACTGGTATGTCGCATTGATAGCGCAAGCACTGGGTACTGACAGCGTCCCAAGGTCACAGACAGCATGGAAATCTCCAGATTGCATAGTGACACCTGCATCTGTGCAAGAGCTCCAGTCAGCATATTCGCAGATTGTTTCCTCCAATGTAACGTTCGCTATTAGAGGTTGTGGCCATTCACCTCTCCCATTGTGGGCGAACGTAGACAACGGTATACTACTATCTACGAAATCGATCACCAGCATTGAATTCAACGAGACCTCGGAAACTGTTCGAGCTGGTTTTGGCAATAATTGGGGGGCGTTGTATACTTACCTCAGGCCATATGGCAGGATCGTTGTCGGCGGAAGGTCGCCAAGTGTCGGCCTTGCTACGATACTAGGAGGTAAATGTCCTTTCCCCTTAGACGCGACCCAAAGTTCTGAAAACGACAGGCGGCCTATCGCATTTATCAAGCCTTTACGGATTCGTGTCCGACAATGTCCTCGAGTTCGAGTTGATCAATGGTAGCGGCGAGCTGATCAGAGCGAGTTCCCAAACGAATGCGGAACTATTCTACGCGCTCAAAGCAGGTGGCACTAATTTTGGCATTGTGACGCATGTCACGATGAGGACATTCCCCCTAGAGAAAGTATGGGGCGGTGCACTTGTGTTCACGAACGATCATAGAGATGACATTATGCGAGCTTTATCGACGTACCAGAATTCTGGACAACTTGATGCGATGTCAGCGGTCCTTCCTTATATGGGCCTCAATAACGACACTACGTATATTATACTCGTATATCTTGATGAAGTCGAAAAGCCAGAGGCATTTCGGCCTTTCTACGATATTCCATCAATATACGATGGTACGCGCGTCTACGACAGCTTAATGGATCTGATCAGCGAGGATCTCAACCTTGTGGTACCAAGATGGATATACGGAGCGACCACATTTCTACAAGATGAGCAACTCTATATTGACGTTGCGAAAATAGCTCAGAACGCAACATCGCGTCTCTCATCCATCAATGGAGGCTCCTTGGTGTTTCAGCCACAACCGATCTCTACAGCCATGATCAATAACTCTCTGACACGGGGTACCAGCCCATTGACAGCAAGACTGGAGAACAAAGCCCAAATCTGGCTCGAAATGAACTTCGGATGGAATTATGAATCTGACGACAGTCGCGTGGGAGAGATTTTAGAGGAAACACTGGCGCAGATTGAAAAGCTGGCAAAGATGCGCCAGTTATATTCAGAATTCGTCTTCCCAAATGATGCGTATCTGAGTCAGGATCCGTTACGAAGCTTTGGTACGAACACTTTTCGGAAGTTGAAACGCATTTCCAGGACATACGATCCCATGGGGATCTTCCAATCACGCCTTGCAGGTGGCTTCAAGTTAGGGGCATAGAAATTTACTTCGGAAACTAGAGGAATAAACCAAATAGTCCGTAAATCAAGCAAACTCCTTCAGCAGTCGAACGGCGTCACACGATCATGACACCGAGTTGCTCACGAATCCCGCTTCTTCAGAGACAGCTAAAGCTGTTCTCGCTCACCTAGCCGCATAAATGACATATCTATGGACGCTGCTTTACAATGACCCGATTTCTGGCTTCATTTCCTTATCAGCTTCTGGAATGCTTGATTTCGCGAGGCGCATTCATCGGGTTCCCGATTGTCCGGAATGCCTTGATAGGCTGATACCTGATTACCAACTGCTCGGGTCGTGTCGCACCTGTTGCCTGATCACTGTAATCTATTTTGCCGACAAACGAACTCCAACTTTCCCAGGCTAACGGTACAAATTGGAGGGCTGCTGTGCCCCATTCCACATTTCTCGATCTTCACCCCCGCTGAGGGCGCAAGAGTCTCATCATCCGTTCTCCTCTCAATTCTCATCAACATCACCAATATGGGCGGATTCTTAGGATTCTGTTATCGTCAATTGACGTTCAAGCCCAAAAGCCTGCCTACAACCATTTCGCTGGAGGGAAAAACAGCGCTTATCACGGGTGCAAACAGTGGTCTTGGCCTTGAAGCTGCGCGTGAGCTAGTTGCACACAAGTTGTCGCGCCTTATTATCGCTGTGCGAGATGTTTCCAAAGGCGAGGCTGCGAAGAAATCTATCCTGGAATCGACAAAATCTACTTGCGAGATCGAAGTCTGGCCTCTGGATTACGACTTCTATGATAGTATCATCGAATTCCAAAAACGAATCGAAGGCCTAGATAGGCTTGACTACGCCCTTCTAAACGCTGGTGTCAAAATGATGCACTACAGTACAAGCCCACTTGGCCACGAAACGAATGTCCAGATCAATCATCTGGGTACGTCGGCCGTTTCCCTGGTAGTGCTTCCTACCCTCAAAAGGACGGCTCAAAAGCTTAATTCTCCCGTCCGGCTGACCATCGTTTCCTCTGAAGGCCATTTCTGGATCCCTTTCAAAGAGCGGACGGCAGACAACATTTTGAAGCGAATGAATGACCAGGAGACCTTTGGAACGCAAATGCAGAGATACTACACCACTAAGCTATTGAACGTCCTTTGGACGCGAGAGCTGTCAAGCAAAGTTCCAGCAGGGACCATTATAATCAACACGGTCAATCCAGGTTTCTGTTACTCTGGTCTTCATCGGCATGAGAGTTCGGGCATAATCAAGATATTCCTGTGGATGTTTGGTTGGTCTAGCGCTGAAGGTGGCTATTGCCTCACGAACGCGCTCATTCAGCAGGAGAATTCGCATGGGAAGTATCTCAGCGAACAACGACAGACACCGTGAGTTTCCCATTGTATATTATCCACTTTTTATACATCTGACTATCAATGCAGACCTTCGCCATTTGTGTTGTCGTCGGAGGGGCAAGATGTACAGCAGAAGGTATGGCGCGAAACGATAGCTCTTCTAAAGGAGGAAGCACCGGGCCTCGATAGCTCTGCCGTATCGCCCAACATTGCATGATACTCTCCGCTGTCATATTCTCAATAGTAGAGACCACTTCAATACATATCTAAAAATCCATATAGCTATACTCAAATGCCAGAATCCTTGCGTCAACACAAAGGATACAGTCACGAAAATTCACCATACATATCCATGGGCGTTAGTTGAGATTTGGGTCAGAACAGAGGCGCTTCACTGCTGGCCTCCTACATGGACAGGAAACATCTACATATGGGCGTACCGGCTTGGTTAAACCCAGCTATCAAAATCCATTGCCTCAGATTCAATATAGGCGTGTCCTGGTGAAATAAAAATTTGCCTAGCATGTTTATCCAGGCAAGATTTTTACATGCAGTATCGGCTAAAGCTTGATTGGTTTCCACGTATGCATGCCAATTTGAGTACGGACTTCGGAGCCAATGAGATGAGTATCCGGTGATGGGGCTGCCAAGCATGCAGTTCAGTATTGATATGCACCTTCCTGGCATCTAGAAGCGTAAGACGGCGAAGCGAGCGGGCCAAAATGCGATTGCGAACGATGGAATCTGGTGTAACCACACTTGTAACCCTGCCACCCGTTCAGCTGTAGCGCGTGTCTCATCGCTGCTGACCGATATAATGTGGAACCAGTACCAGCTGCCTAATATTACTCTGATCACAACACTTGCGAACCGCTGGGCGAGCCATAACCTTGGAAGGGTCGGATCGTTCGTGAAAACTTCTCAGCTCAGCGGTACCAATGGCGCCCACATCAGCCCCCCTCTCCAAAGCCACCCCATTACCGCATAACCCTCTCGGCATTGAAGTACTGGCAATCTCCTCGGTCGGAATCTCTGTTGACTTGCTTGCGATCGGGCTCAGGCTATGGTCTCGCAAGCTGAGGAGAAAGGCGTTCGATACCGGTGACTGTCTCCTCATCGCAGCTTGGGTATGTTAAATTTAAGCTGAGCATAGTAATCTCACTGATGGCCACTTAGCTTTTTGCGTTTGCGGATGTGATTAGGAAAATTATAGGTATGAACCACCTCACACTCAATAGACCAGCCGCTGATTTGTACCTCCAGCTTTCAAATGGGGCGTGGGACTTCACATGAGCGAGATACTGTCGACCGACCCATCCCACCTACTGGATGCTGGGGCAATAACATTCGCTGGCTACTTCGTGTGGTCAACTAGTGTGACCTGCATCAAGCTATCCATTCTTCTCGGATACCACGACTTCTTCTTCGTCATAACGTGGTTCGTGCGATGCGTCTATGTTGTAAAAGGTCTTACCGTCCTATTATTTCTCGCCAACATCATCGGGCTTCTCGCCGGATGCTCTCCGATACAATACAACTGGGATACCAGCATTCCTGGAGGTCACTGTGGAATAACCCGAAGCCAAAGCTTTTACCTCTCCGGGGCTTTGAACTTAGCGCTTGACATAATCATCGTTGTGCTACCGTTGCCTGTAATCTGGACTTTGAGGGTTTCTGGGTTGAGGAAATTGGGCATAAGCCTCATGTTTTCGCTCGGTGCGATGTAAGTGACTTCTTCATATTACGTTTCTATATATGACTTACTGGCGCTAGTATTGTTGTGTTAGTTGGCTATAGATTTCACCTTATCCAGCGTCAAGATGAAGAAGACTATATTCATGATGGCGAGGTTGCCGGCATCTTCACCTCGCTCGAGCTTTACCTAGGGATGATCTCCGCCTGTCTCCCGTTCATATCTCCATCTATCAGGACTATTAACACAAGTCTGTCCACATCGCGAATCCGATTGTACTTCCACTCTGGTTCTAGAGGTAGCGACAGGTCTACCGGAATTGACGACTCCCTACAACTGGTTGAAAGCGGGAAACGGTCAGGGTCATTGCAAAACATGGCGGCGAAAGACCCGTACGTGATTTCTTTGGCAACGAGTGACGTGGAGTATCAGGTAGAAGCAAGACGAGAGTGACCGTGAGCCGTCATTGGGTACGATTTCTGATTATGTAGATGGCTGAATGTACTGGAATGGAAGGATGTTACTTCCGCTCCGTGAATCAAATAGCTTCTGTACTACACTTCGATAGACATACAAATCAAGAAATCCTCATCATTTGGCTTTAATCCTCGAACGTTCCATACAGCACTACCATGGTAGGTTCGTTCGAAACCATCTTCTGATGATCTCCGGGGCCAAATCGCATCCACGCTGTGAAGAAGAGGATCCAAGCACCATACTGGACGAGAAAATTCTAGAATTCCGAGCGGTATGATGCTCTGTACAGGCAAGGCCGTCAGCTGCTTGCGGCCTTACTTTCATTCAACCACACTTACGGGTCCTTGCGGTCACCGAGAATTAATTAATTCTGAAGCACTACTAGGGTCGCTTCGGGGGAATGTACAGATAGATAGACGTTGCTCCG